TAGCCCCCCCGTCGGGGCCTTTAGCCCCCCCCCACCCACCGTCGGGCAGGTTCTGGCGCCACCCCTGGTCTAATACCTTCAAAATTTCAAAAATATGTTTTTATCTCTCCCTATTTTGACAAAGTAACGAAAACAGTGGCATTTAGCATTATTACACAGATTTTACATTATAAGTGACTCAATTGGCCTTCCATAGAAAAGGTATTAGGTATGACGTAACTACATGTAATAGCAATGGCTATCTTCACAATGATGAATTGGTTGTCCGCGCTAACACTAGGCTCTCTTTTATTTCTTTTACGAATTAGGTAATGATTAGTACTAGGAATACGGCACGTCTAACATGCATTTTATGATTAATTTGTTTTTGTGACACGTTCGGCTATAAGCCGGCCAGCCATGAGGTACCGGTATGTACACACTGTGACTTGCTATTGTCATCAATGATTTTTATAACAATGACGATCTATCTTAGAATTTGTATAATTTTATTGAAAGCCGCGTACTATTGCCATTCTTAATCAATGTAGCCTAAATAGGGGCTAAGGCAAGGGCTAGAAGGTAGGCCTAAGCCTAGACGCACAGAGAGAAGAGGGAGATGTGGCGTACTTGGACTATTTTAAAAACACATATTCTTTATTAGTTAAATAAGCCCTACAGTGGCGGGTCCAGATTTCCTCCAAGTCCTGCAGCAGCCAAATAAATCTCTACTCGCAAGTGTGATATAATTAATTTACGGGTAAGAAATAAGCCTATAAACCGCTGAAACTCGCACTGCCCTGGAAACAATCTCCATCCTCCCAAGTTACTACTGCTGACCAAATGACCTTTGCTACGCCTCACAACCCCCGACCCCCGCCCGGAAACTGATAATTATGTGTATAAGAGTACAGTTGTGTATAATATATATATATAATATATATATATATAATATTATATAATTATAATGTGTGTATATTATATATTATATTAGAAAAATAGGAAAATTGAGGGCCCTTTCTTCGTCTCATTGATCTGATCTCAGAAAGAGAGAGAGTGAGGGTGGGGGTGGGAAGAGAACACCCGCCTAAGCACGTCGTAGAATTTTGATTTTTTTTTCTCTGTCAAAATGTATGTGCCTATAATATACCGTAACGTATGCCTATATAAATTGTAATTTATATATGGCACGAGCATTAAAAAAATTATTATACATTCTATTTTATTCTTTTTCTTCATAAGAACCCACTAATTTTATAATTTATATAATATATAAATATTATTTATATAGCGCATATTGCACACCACATTTATGCGCTTTACAGACAAGTATATGAAGTGAGAAAATAATAACCGAAAGGTCCACTGATTAATCTCAGATAAGAAAGTATAATACATACTCCAAGTATTGAAATACACGCCATCGTGTTGGGATTCAATATTTCGACATTAATTATGTCA